TTAAATGAAAGGGACAAGGTGAAACAAAATTAAATGAAAATTTACAAGTGATTGACATGAGCCTCGAGTTCATGCATCAACCAAGTCAGCGAGCCTGACCACCCGATCCCGTTAGTCGCCTTTTACGACAAGCATAGTCACCTTTTACGGCAAGCATGGGTTGCTGAAGACCTGTTCTACCCCGGATCTTCACGAGTCTTACCATTATGTACTTTATGCAGTGTTGAAGTTGAATCTATTATACATCTGTTATTTGAATACACACATGTAAAACCGTATTGGCAGACCTTATTAAAATGGATAGAAAACAGTACTGGCACAAAACTTAAGTAAAAACGAAATAATGTACTCAAATTTATTTCTATTCACCTACAAAAACAAATGTACGAATCGCTAAATTTAATGGTCTGGAGATTATGTTAACAAGTTCACTGCTTATTCACAATGCAAATGTGGTCCTCAGGTCAAAATCTATACTGAACCGCAAAAGAAACGTCACCCCAAGTAACATTGCATGAAAAGTTGTCATTTAAAAATCTGGGTAAAATTTTTGTCAAAGTTTCTAAAATTTAACATAACCTTGTCCGGAAAAATGAAATTTGATGATAAAAAAACAAAGTAGATAACAATAAAACCGATCGCCCAAAAGCATCACGGCAACGGCCATGGTAACCCGATGCACATGAGTTCCGTGCAAACTGAAATGCACATCCGCTCCCCAATGTCTTGCCCTATAAAAATCCACACAGATCGGATAACATTCATTCGTTATTGAATTGCTACCACATGCCAAGATTGACAAGAAATCAGCGACACCAATCACTTGGACGGTTGCAAGCAAGACCAACCGCCCGGCAAGTAGCCAATGCATTTCAAGTCCACGTAAGGACCATACCGAGGTTCCAGCAACGGTACCAGACCACCAACATTACAGATGACCGACGTAGTGGAAGACCAGGGGTCACCACCAGACGTCAGGATCGTCAGATGGTGCGACAGCGTCTTCAAGATTGCTTTGTTACTGCTGTGGAAACTGCTCGACAGACAATGGGGACACACCAGCGACACATTAGTGCGGACACCGTGCGACGACGATTGACGAGCGGACACCTCCACTGTCACAGGCCACACCGAGGACCAATTCTGACACCAAGTCATCGCGTGGGCAACACAGCACAAGCATTGGCGCCACCAGCAGTCGAGAAGAGTCCTCTTCTCAGACGAGAGCCGTTACTGTATCTCAACAGCAGATGGCAAAGAGAGAGTCTGGCGACGCCTTGGAAAACGTTATTCGGATGCTTGTGTTGAGAGAGACTCGTGGGGTGGTCCGAGCATCATGGTGTCGGGTGGAAATGGTCTTGCACAGAGGGTCGGCCCTGTGGTCTTCGAGAACATCGGTCACGGGAGAGGCGATGGTGTCGCAGCAGCTCGGTACATTGATCAAGTTTTGAGACCACACGCCAGACCTCATTTGGCACGTCGCTACAACCAGGAGTTTCAGCATGATAACGTCCGTGCCCACACTGCGAGAGCAACAAGAGACTTCCTCCAGCAGAATGGCATCAGAACCATTCAGTGGCCTGCCCTCAGTCACGATTTAAATCCCATTGAGCACCTGTGGGACGAGATTCAAAGACGGCTGAATGACGTCCGACCAAGGCCGACAACTGCAGCTGAACTGCGTCAGGCGCTCCTCAGAGTGTGGGCTCAAGTGCCTATGGCCTTCATCAACCGCCTCATCCGTTCCATGTATCGACGTTGCACAGCAGTCATCAATGCACATGGCGGACACACGATATACTGACTTGTGATGCCATTTTCTCTGAGACTAGTGTTGTGTTTCACTTTAAGAACATTTGACACTTTAATTTCAACCTTGATGATCAGTTGAAACTACAAATCGGACACTTCTGTCATCTAAATTGTCATGGTCTTTTGGCATCGTTCGTTCGTTCGTTCTTTGTTGTTTAACGCCGTACTCAGCAAAATTACAGCTATATAACGGCGGTCTGTAAATAATCGAGCCTGGACCAGACAATCCAGTGATTGACATCGATTCTCGCATTTGGGATACGATGACATGCATCAAACAAGTCAGCGAGCTTGACCACGAATTAGACCTGTGTCTGTATTGTACCGATTACAAAGATATCTAGAAATGACCTTTCAACTTGTGACAAATGTTGTGGTCGCAAAAAAAGCGTGATTTCCGGATCTGTGTCCGTTTCCCAATAAGCAGTTATGTTTGAAGAATACAGAAGATAGAAATTTAAACATTATAAATGAAAAAAGTATTTATCTTACCCTAAGCCATAGGTGCAAACATGAATAATTGTTACATCAAGTGTCTTGTTCCTCATGTGACACACTCACGTACGCACACACGTACTTGCACGTCCCTATATAAGTGCATTAATTTTGAACCCGACGTTAACCCTCTGGATGCCGAGGTTTTTTTCTGACGCACATTTTCCTAAGATCGGAAAAGTGAAGGTTGTGCGAGAATTGCGCTCACGCGGCACTGGATCTACCTCTGGCTATAAAATTACGCAGAGGTGGAGAATATGAAATTTCTTATTTGATAGTGTAAATTTAACTGTAAATATCAAACCGGTTATTAAAAATAACACTCCTAAGTGTTGTCCAAGAATTTATTCTGCGTTGAAAAACAGTAAATTTCTCCGCTTTTCATCGTACACCGATAAAAGTACTGTGCGACAAAAAAATTTATTAAGAAGCTATACGGAAACTGTGAGCGAACAAAATACTGCCTAATATCTGAACGACATAACAACATATCAAATGAAGTTATATGCGTATGTATAACGACATACGTTCAATTCCAAAAATAGCATGCCGTAAATGACGAAAACTGATTTTTCTCTATGACGTCAAAAGGTGACAGAGAGGTTACACACGTACAAATTTAGATTTCAAAACATGCTGTAAATAACGCCGTGAGTGGTGATTTAGTAATGTGTAAAAAATGGCGACATTTACGATGTACCTAATTTTCAGAGGTCATTTTCAGTACTTTTGCTTGGCCTAAAGTGCCAGTGGGTGATATCACAGAACAGGGAATTTTCCACCTTATTCAAAACTGTGAAGTGTATTTGTGTGGGTGATGTATTTTGAAATTTATTCAACTTTAAAGTGAGGGTTGTAGAGGAAGGACATATATGTCCCTCTGGCATCCAGGGGGTTAAACGCCATTTCATCTCACAGTCGATCATACAAATCCGGCCCTTCTGTCACCTGAGAAACTGTGTCTTAAAAACTGAATAAGACAACAGGGTCAGTAATATATCGGTGATATGTAAATATGTATCAGTATTTTAAAAACCAAGACTCAGGAACTTGTGACAAGGTGGCCTGTTAAAGACAAGTGTCGTGGTCTTCCTTTTCGGCAAGAAGTGTGATATCCGGATCTGTATTCGCTTCCCCATAAGCCATTCTGAATATGAAAATAAATATGAAAACTATTAACTAATAAATGTATATGAATAAGTTTAATTCTAACTGAAACAGCCATAGGAACAAACTTAACTGTTACATTAGGTGCCTTCTTCCTCTTATTATCCAACATCCCCTTAATTATTTTAATTGCCTCTCATTTCATCTTAATCTGAAAATATGAATACAAATGTAACACAACCACGATGCCATGAGTTTAAGAGCACTCTTGGTGTCAAGATTCATATTTCATAACATATCACAACTCTTAGCAGAAAGGCATTCTGTTGTCTGCTCCACTAAAGGCAGTACATTTTTTTCTTCTGACCGTCTGTTTCTATTAAAAAAAAAAACGAGCATAGAGATGAGAAACACAAATGTTTGGAGTCATTTATGTATGAATTAATAACTCACGTTCCGAGTTTCTCTATTTATGTATCAATTCATAACTCACGTTCCGAGTTTCTCTGCTTCCTGAATTGTTTCTGGAAGCCTCTTGTTGAATGTTTCTGGGAGGAGTAGACATAGGAGTCCGGCCAGGGTGGTCGTGCTCCCGAATATCAGCATAGGCAGGATCTGACTGTACCTGCCACTGATATGCATTGTCTGAAACAGGAAAAGATCTTCATTGGGAAAATAAGACAAATCATTCAGATCCCCTTCCATTCTTACATGCTGAACATTTTAAACAAATAGTTCATATTATATTATATTTCCGCCATATCAAGGCCGAGAAGCGGTCACGTGTCATTCGACAGAAACGCATATTGACTTCATGTCTGGTCTGATAAGTTATGGGGTTTAGATACTGAAAATAAAATGGGGATAACCCGAAAGTGGTATATCGAAAACCTATGCCAGATATGCCTATCAGATACGTCACTGTTTGTCTGAACATCCAAATGCTGTTATAGATAGAACGCGATTTTGATATGTTAAATCTGACTTTATCTTTTTATTGTAAATTAAAACAATAATGGACTTTATGTAAGGTCAATACCCGGTGTTTTGTGGATATGGCATATATCGGGTCCATAAACCGGAGTTGACCTCATGAAGTCCATAGTTGTAAAAGGCGCCAAAGGCATTATCAACGTATTCCTGACCTTGTTAGCCTCTCGACAACAATTTTAACACAGATGACACTACTTCTTCACTGCGGCCAATAAAGTGTGTAAAATAAATATCACCTTTGTGTGAGCGACCCGCTGATAAGTTGGTAAGAAGAACAAAATCATTTCGTGACAAGAAAGCAATAAACGAAGATATGCATGCAGCTCCTCCCATCAACGTGGTGACACACAACAGCTTCCTCCGACCAATCCGGCTAGTGCAGAGCATTCAGAGAGTAAAGGAACACGCTTCTACCACAGCAAACAGGAAGAAGTTGAGGCAGACATTGCCAGAGAGGGTGGCGACGTTCATGCTGAGGCCAAAGAAACCCAGACGACATAGTTTGTGATAAAAAATATGTTTTGCTCCTTCATTTAGAGAATTGTGTTTGCAGCAACAAGAATCCTTTTTTCATTTGAAAATTTATCACTCACCAGATCATTGATATATGGTGACGAAATACTACCAACTCTACAGAAAACTGAGCATAGCCCCGTGCCGAAATTCCTTGTTGTCGTCGGTAGTAATTCTACTGTGAAGACGTAGACGATGGCAAAAGACGCAGATACGGAACTGTTGCCAAGACAGGCCAGCACTGTGATGATCCATGTGTTAGCTGGGGTAAAACCATAAAGAATCACACTTATTCATTGCAGCAATTTAGGAAATACTTCAGTTATGACCACATCAATCGCCATCTCTCCCTATCTTTATTTGAGTTAATCATTAACTTGCCCCCATACTGAGCTGACCTTAAACGGTCTACCTTAATAATTTACACTCTGCTTATGCATAGCGACAGGATGAACACTTAACATGTATGTATTGGAACTTCATAAGTGTATTAGGTATTAGGATCTGTCAGCTTAAAATGTTCATCAGTGAACTCCATCACTTGATGTTATTAAAATAACGAGAAAACAAGTTTGAAAGAAGAACACGATAACTCTTACGCGTTTTCGTGACAAAGAAGGGAATGAAAGTAGAAAAGCACGCAGCTCCTGCCATCAACATAGTGGCACACAACAGCTTCCTCCGACCAATCCGACTGATGAAGAGCGTACAGAGAGCATATGAACATGCTTCTACCACAGAAAACAGGAAGTAATTGAGGTAGACGTTGCCAGAGAGGTTGGTGACGTTCATGCTGAGGCCAAAGAAACCCATTCCGATTGCCAACCTGTTTTTAACAAATGTGAAATTTATTATCCATTTAATATTTTATTTGACAATTTGTGAAAGACTAACAAGACTATCACATGTTACAACTACATCGAAGTTATTCCTCCTTAATGTACATACGTTGTCCTGATCATAGATAACTAGTCGTCATTAAAGATAAATCAATTTGTACATCTGTATGACATGAGAGAAACATGCAGAATAGTAAAATTTGAAGTATATTAGCCTTTAGACAAATCTGAAGAATATTAGCCTTTAGACTTGACTTTAGATGGACTTTGTTGGATGTTGTTTGCCGGATGTTGTTTGCCGCTTGTAGTGTCGTCTACTTACTTCGTTTTGCAATTGACCATAACATGATTCTTGTTGTGAGCACAGATGCTAATTGCATTCGCGTTGCAAATTAGAATAGCACTTTTCACATTCGCTCTTAAAGGGCAAGTAAATTCAAACTGTTGTCTGCATTTCTTTTAATAGCCCAAATCATACTAAATGAATCATATGTTCACTAATATATATATTACAAAAAATCAGAAACTGTCCCAGAAAATTCCTCAAGAAAATAGCTCAACAGTACAGTTAGCACTATATATTAACATTTGTTGAGGTACTGTGTTTTAGAACGTAATCACGTCTTACCAGTTACAACAAATTACAACCATCCTCTTCAGCATTATAGGGGATCTGAACAGCTCCCAGAAGCGCTCACTTTCTTCATCGTTACAGATGACATTATCTAGTGTGGCATCAGGGATTTCAACTTTGTTGCATTTGGCAATTTTCAACATTGTTGTCTTTGCAGCTTTGTTCCTACATTTGGTAATTTGCCATCTTGGAGACTCCGGGAGAAAGCTGAAACCATTTGTAGACACCATCTAGGCTTTATTGAAATATATTTCTCAGCAAATTATAGCTGTTTTGCTTTTTGACAAAACGGTTAAACAAACATTGTTCCAATTCTTAACTCCAACAAACAAAAGTGACAGAAGATAACATGTTACAACAAACCTGGTGAGATTGTCCATGATAATAAGATTGATTTAGAAAAATGTGAAAATACACTCACTACAAATAGACAAAGATGATACCAGGAATACTGATGGCGAGCTGTCTAGTCTTCCAGTCTCTCACCAGGAAGGCCACGAGAGCCAGAATCATGTTCCCAGCACTCCAGAAGAGATTCATTGCTACTCCTGTGATCATTCTCTTTGACGGGCCGACTATCTCCATGCCTGTGGTGACAAGACGTGATGTGTGCATTCCTTTAGTCAACACAGTTTCGTCTGAGCATGGCGGATTTAGTTTTTGTTTTAGGCACACTCAGCAATATTCCAGCTAAATGACTTCGGTCTGTAACAAATTGAGTCTGGACCAGACAATCCAGTGATTGATATCATGAGCATCGATCTACGCACTTTGGATACGATGACATGCATCAACCAAGTCAGCGAGCCTGGCCACCCGATCCCGTTAGTCGCCTCTTACGACAAGCATAGTCGTCTCTTAGGACAAGTATGGGTTGCTGGATCTTCTCGGGTGCTTAATGTATACTGATTTGTAGAACCGTTTATACATATCACCAAAAACAAACTACATGTGACTAATCCAAACCAGGTGCCTACAAAATGAACGAAATTTTGATTGATGTAGATTATTGTCAGTGAACGGAACAGATCACAGATAAAATAGAGGATGTGTCTTCCGTACTTACTGTATATAAAACAAGATAGGAATTGCGCGCTGAGTGTTCCAATCACAATGAACACACATGCCAGGAGAAGATAGAAGTTGGTGACCCAGTTGAGACAGATGCTGAAGAAAACAGCACTGAACATTGCAACCAGCATCATTGTCCGACGCCCAAACCTAGAAAATATGTTCTTATTAAATACCCTTAAAGCTACTTGATATATGTATGTGTCGGGATTGTTGGCTCAGCATTTATTTTTTAACTACCAAGGGGCTCATAATTTCAGTTTAAACTGGACACAGGGGCGGTCGGGTAGCCTTGTGATTAAATGGTTCTCTCGTTACGTCGAAGACCAGGGTTCGATTCCCGACACGGTTACAAGATGTGAAGCACTTTTCTTTTGTCCCCCGCCGTGATATTGCTGGAATATTGCTTAAAGCGGCAGAAATGTGCTTCACACATTGTACCCATGTGGGGAATCGAGCCCGAACGCTTTCCTTGCCCCCTTAAGAGAGACAGACTCTGACTCCACGGACTTCTGCTCCAATCTCAAGAACATCACCGATCCAGAACAAATCATCAGTTACGACGTAGTAGACCTCTTTACCAACGTACCGATAGATGTAACTCTTCACATTTTGCGCCGTTGCATCACTGAAACTCCTCTTGAAACTAGCCTATCCAAAGAAACTATCATCGCCCTCACCATCTCCTCTACCAGTAGGAAATCTGAAATCTACATGACCTACTTCGAACAGCAAGCCCTCACCACATCACCCATCGAACATATTTGCTGGTATAGGAAAGTTGACAACACCTTTGTCATCCTAAAACAAGACCGAAACCCAGCCTTGCTACGACAACATCTTAACCAACAACACCACCGAGTACAGTTCACCATCGAAATAGAAAGAACAACCAACTACCCTTCCACTTCAACTCCAACCACCCCCTTAGAACTAAGACTGGCATCATCTCCACCCTCACCAAACGAGCCATCAACCTTTCTTTTGCTGACCCCAAACCTGAGATCGAACAACTCCACAATTATCCACACAATCTCGTCGACAAAGTCATCTCCTCTGTACTCCATCCCAGCCCAGATCTGAAACTCTTAAACCCGAATCAGCGCCCCTCCGCATCGCCCTCCCGTTCAAAGCTTACGCCTCCCACATCATCAGCAGCCTCCTCAAACAGCAAGCCAATATTGACACCCACTTCACCAGCTCCAACTCCTCAACACCCTGCTAAGTGCAACGGCAGCAACACAACCAAACCTCAAGAGCCTAAAGGTGTAGTTTAGAAAATTGACTGCAACTGTGGACGATCAACTCAGAGAATCAAAGAGCACAACATCTCAACCATTAAATCAGACAGCAAATCAGCCATCTCGGAGCTTTATCAGCAACTGTCCTCTTCACAACATCAACGGCGACAACGTCCAAATCCCCTCCAACAACCTCCATGATTTCACTAAATGAAAACTAACAGAAGCAGTCCACATCCGCCGCCACAAGCCACCAATCAACAGAGATCAAGGTTGTTTCATCCCATCCGCCTACTATGAACTCATAAAGCAATCATCACTTATCCTGTCCAATTGGCTTCCACCTATGTGTTCTCTGTCCATTGTGTTGGGTCACTCTTTGTAGATGGCTTCAACATATCTTGTCGTGGCAAAAACATGCAAACAATAGAAAGGTAACTGCAGCTTTGCCTAAATAAAATCCAAAAGTGGTCCCTTGAAAATGGTTTTAGATTTTCAAAAACAAAGACAAATTGTATCCATTTGTGAAGAAATTATAGACCGCATAAAGACCCGGAACTACTGTTAAACGGTGCCCCAAACAAGGTTGTTGAGGAGGCCAAGTTCTTGGGTCTTATTTTTGATCGCCACCTAAGGTTTTTATCTCATATAAAATATCTTAAAACTAAATGCTTGAAAGCTCTGGATCTACTAAAAGTTGTTGCAAACACTAAATGGGGTGGGGATCAGACAACCTGTATAGATCCCTTATTTGATCTAAACTAGATTATGGTTCAATTGTATATGGTGGAGCTGCTAAAAGTAATTTAGAGAAATTAGATATCATACATCATCAAGGACTGATACTCTGTCTTGGATCATTTAGAACCTCTCCTGTAGCAAGTTTGTATGTGGAGGCTAATGAGACTTCGCTTGCACAACGCCGCTTAAAACTATCCCTTCAGTATGTAACTAAATTACGTACAAACCCATCAAATCCTGCTTATAACTGCGTCTTTCATCCTCTCAATGAGGAACTGTTTTACAACAAGCCAAAGCTTATACCGCCACTTGGCAATTGGATCAAGCCTTACATTGCAAATGCTAAAATTGACTTCGATATAATATCTCCATGCCGGATTTTGTCTACTCCTCCCTGGCAAATAGTCAGGCCTGAAGTAGACCTTTCTCTCACTAATTTAAAAAAATCTGAAACAAATCAACTAATGTATCTGCAAGAATATAATCAATTACGATCCTCATACAATACCTAAAATCTATATTTACAGATGGATCCAAGGATACCAGATAACTGTTCCATTTTTACGGCTGAAGCAAAGGCCATATTCACAGCATTAGAATATATCAATAACCAATCAAAACATAAACAATTTATTATATTTTCAGACTCACTCTCCTGCCTTCAAGCTATTAAAAATCTGTCTTGTACACATCCGATTTTAATCAAAATTATTGAATTGTTCAATGATCTTGCTACTGGCCAATACGACATCGTTTTTTGTTGTTTACCGAGCCATGTTGGAATCATTGGTAACACAATAGCTGCTGCTGCTGCTGCTGCTGCTGCTGCTGCAAAAGCAGCACTCAACAAATCTGTGACACCAGTTCTTATCCCACACAGTAATGGATGATAAGACTGTTATTAGATGTTACATCAGGGATCTCATGCAGAAGAAGTAGGACACCCAAGTAGGTATCAATAAATTACATGAAATTAAACCAACTATCGGTTACACCTACTTGGGCTGTCAGTCCATATTTGAAGAAGTCATTATGCGACGATGTCGTATTGGCCACAGCAGATATACCCACGAATATTTATTGAAAGGTGAGGATCCTCCATTCTGAATCCTTTGTGATGAAAGAATCACGGTCCAGTTTGTCCTGCTTGACTGCATTGATTTTTCCATCACAAGGGATAAGTATTTCAAAGTATCATCCATCAAGGATGCTTTTAGTCAAATCAGTGCTCTTTTAATCATCGCTTTTTTAAAAAGAAATAGAAATAACAGATAGATTTTGATCATAATACATGTATGTATACTATATAGAAAGTGATTTTTAATTTGGTAGAATGAATTTATAACTGAGATTGTTAGTGGCTGTATCTTCACAGGGGGTTGAAGTATTGTAAAACAATTGTCCCCCTGAGAGGGTATGCAACTCCGGTATCATTCATAGTATTTTTTCTTTTCTCTGTGATTTTAATCGTAGTATTTTTGTTGTTTAACTGTTTGGCTAATAATTCTGACCATCACCAGTAGCGAGAGGGATGCTGTAAATCCTGCTGGGGTACCATATAGGTAGCAGAAGTACTGTAAGTCCCCATGGTCCCTAGTATAGTGGCCCTTACTTTGGTTGCTGGTGAACTGTAGCTCATTTTTATATTGTATCGTGACATATAGTGATATCTTTTTATGATTACATGCTAGTTTTAACGATTTATCTGTGATATTCTAGTTATTTTACTGTCCATTGATGACAGGTTTTTATTAATTGATAATATATAATAACTTCTCGTCACGATATGGCTGAAATATTGCCGATGTGACGTTAAATTTAACTCACTCACTCACTCACTCAATCACTCACTGTCCTTGTGTCCTTTGATTGGACGTCACTTGTTTCTTACGTCATAACTGATCCCGCTTACACTCCTACATTACCATACTGAGAGTACGGTGGGGTTCTCAGGATCGGTCTTATTGTCCTAGAAACATATTTCACCGAAAGTAAGCCTATATTTCAGTTTACGGGCCAAATAGTCGTGGATAATCCCGCTATTGAAATCAAAGTTACTAAAACACTTGTGAATATCCTTGACCACACGACACGTGAAGATTCCGGGGTAGAATAGGTCTTCAGCAACCCATGCTTGCCGTAAAAGGTGACTATGCTTGTCGTAAGAGGCGACTAACGGGATCGGGTGGTCAGGCTCGCTGACTTGGTTGATGCATGTCATCGATCCCAATTGCGTGGATCGATGCTCATGATAATAATCACTGGATTGTCTGGTCCAGACTCGATTATTTACAGACCGCCGTCATATAGCTGGAATGTTGCTGAGTGCGGCGTTAAACAACAAACCAACCATCCAACCAACCTTGCCCAAACATGGGAGATAACATTTATCAAATCAACATATGATAAGAGCATAAGGTTAAAATGCTAGGGAAGTAAGTTGACAGACAAAACATTATAGCCTAGCAAACACAAAGTCAAAGACCTGAATCCGAGTGGCAAACTGCCTGACAGTGATGAGTAAGTGAGGCGCTGATATCAGTGAACCACTGAGCTGGGTTCTACGTCACTGTGACAGTTATATAATATCAAAGTGGGAAAGAGATGATTCCTCACATGTCTGAGAGAGGTCCGCTGATGAAGACAGCAACAAGCTGACCCAACATCCCCATCATCTTAGCGTGGGTCACATATCTCTTCCGGTCACACACAAGATCCATCTGAAATATAAGCCGTACATGTGACTCTTTCTTGGGCTTCAATGAATCCTGATGAACATATGAAACTTGAGGAACGAGAGGACAGCTTAATAGATTCATGTCTGCAAAACCGATAGTACTGGTGCTGCAGCTGACATATATTTACAGATGACTATCTCATAAATGTTACCCGGAACTGTACAATCAATAGATTTTTATCTCAAACAAATATGACCACTCACAGCCTGTACAACTGTAGAATCGTATACCGTCCTGTCGTATACCCATTCGTGACACGTCTTAGTGATGTTTATGTGATCGCCGGAACCATCATCTGTCCAATTGGAGGAAGAGTACACGTCACATGACGAGAACTTCAGGTCACCGTGGCCACGTGGAATAGTCCTGTTGATGAGGTCGGCGTGAGCTGCATCTTGGACTGCATATGAGTCATTCCTTAATCCGGGGATGCTGCACCTGTGCAGTACACATGGAGTCTAGCATCAACTCATCGTCAATGCACGGATTTGTATAAACTACGTACGTTATTTCAACGTCCGTGAATTAAATTGGCGGAATTGCAGTGCTATTACTAGCTAGTTTTAACAACGAATCAAACGACAGCCTGGTTCCAGCGAGAGACCGCCTCCGTGGTCGGGCTGACAGCGGGCCAGCCAGGAGATCTGAAGGTGGATGATTCCATCTCGTGCAGCGTCATACCCAAAAACATGAAATGAGGGTACTTGTTATCCTACAGTGCTCTATGCTTTTTCATAAGGTCCTAAACAAACATTTTATCGATCGCTTATAATTAAATGTGTTCATTGATATTCCTGCATTCTGATTAGCTGAATTGGTCACGTGTTATTGCATTCATTTGCCAATGAATGTAAAAAATTAAGCCACGCCCACCGAGGCGGACTACTTTCGTTACTACGGAATGTCGGGGAATCCCAAAATTACATTTGAGGGAATTCCCTTACTACTTAAGAGTATCGAGAGTCATGCACATGACATTTAGCAAAATTCATGCATATTCATTGTCCAAACAACCCTTTGGGACCGAAGACCGTGAAGGAATGAAACAGCAAACGTGCAGACTCGCTCGCCTGTGTTTTCCAGCTCGCCTCGGTTCCATAACTTTCATGTCTTCGGGTTTTAGAGATCTAGCATTTTTCTAATTCTGTCTTCCCGTTCTCAGGGAACTAATGTTTGAATATGGTGGTAACTGACCATGTCGTTTGCAACAGCCTTCTTCTGCCGGACATATTTATTCCGGTTCGTTACAGTCTGACTGTTGCACTTCTTCTTGCCTCTTGCTTTGATTGACAGGTCTTATGAACATTGTTTTGTTCATACTCTCTGTTGATTGGCTACTGACTTTGTAGGCGTGTCAAGTTATGTGCAAAAATTAAACAATCACCTGATTCATGTCACGCCACAGTATGTATTCCTTCACCTGGAATGTTCGTCAATATCGTCATTTTTGTAGGCTTTGATATTTACACCCTTTTTTGGTTAAACTATTGTAGATAAAACATGTTTTCGTTGTCGAATTTAATTATAAGCATTGATTGTATATTTTTTTCGGTTCATTGAGGTATGAATCGAAATACCGATATGCAAACTTTTATAAGAATCCGCTACGCGGATTCATACCGTTTGCACATCGGTTTTTCGATTCATACCTCAATGAACCGAAAAAAATACACAGTCAATCCTTAATAGCATGTTTAGTACATAATAAGAAATAACAAGGACATATATGCATTTAAGAATTGACTTATATGTTTCTCAGTTCATTTAGGTATGAATCGGAAAACAGATATGCACACTGTATAAATCCGCGTAGCAGGCAAATATGATGAGATTGATAAACGTCGCAGGCGAAGGAATACACCGTATATTTATAATGTATGAGTAGTGCTTTCAAGAATGGTTTCGTACAAGAAGTATTAGAGCTATCCACCCTCGTAGAAATTGCTGCAGTGCATCAATTGTTCCCCGCCATATAATGCCATATGCAGAGGAAGGAAGTGAAAGCAATGAGAGGAGAGGATGGGTGAAAAGTTCAAATTGGTTGTTGTTAATGTAGTTATCTTTGGAAAGCACAATGAACGAAACAGTGTCTTTAAATGGTGTGCACAAGGAAAACTAAGGCAAGAAAACACACAACTAAGCCTGTCAGGCAGAACTGTTAGTACCAATACTATAAAAAACAAGCATGAAATACTCATATCCCCCGCCAATATTACATGTCCATCTGTGTGCAATGCATCAGCTCTCTGTGAACATTGTTTACTGGACCTTTTTGTAAATGGTGTAATTGCAGCACTAAAAACCTTATTACCGGTGTTGTGTTGCTATCTGCAGTTTATGATGTATTGGAGAAAACACTTTCCCTCGGTTTTGGTAGACAGAGCATGCCCTTGGGAGAGGGAAAAACCAAGGGGCCGAAGCGAAGCCCCCGCGGTTTTTACCGACCCCCAGGGCATGCTCTGTCTACCAAAACCGAGGGAAAGTGTTTTTCCATGCTTATAAACCGAAAAAAGAAACTTAGAACAACATTTATCAACATTTTTATGTTTCGAACATACTTTCCATGAACCTTAGGAAACGCGCGTAAAATATCTGTTGCTGGCGTACGGATCTTGAGAATGACATTCTAAAAACCAGTGAGGCTTATTAACAGCTCTGTAGCCTCGTGGTACACTCACTGGGCTACAGATATAAAGTTTGCGAGGTCGATCCTCGGGAATATAAAGATTCATTTGATTTTACATTTCATTACATGTTACAATCAGAACGGAAGTTGTATTAATAAAATACCAAGGACATTATATAAAATCCCTGGGATATTATATAATATGCCAGGGACATTACAACGTCCCTGTTTATGAGATTTAACCCGACTGGAAAGTAAAACCTCACAATAGGTTTTAATGCCTATAGAAAGAAGTCTCTTACTTAATGGCGATCCAAATGAATAGGTTTATAAAGAATATGTAACTGTTTCAGTAATGAGTTGTGTTATTAATAAAACAATAATCAGAGAAGTAAGGGTTGGTTGGTTGGTTTGTTGTTTAACGTCACACTCAACAATATTCCAGCTGTATGACGGCGGTCTGTAAATGATCGAGTCTGGGCCAGAAAATCCAGTGATTATTATCATGAGCATCGATCCATGCAATTGGGATCGATGACATGCATCAACCAAGTCAGCGAACCTGACCACCCTATCCCGTTAGTCGCCTCTTACGACAAGCATAGACGCCTTTTACGGCAAAGATGGGTTGCTGAAGACCTATTCTACCCCGGATCTTCACGGGTCGAGAAGTAGGGGAGTTCTTACTTTACTTAGAGATCAATGAGAGCAGGGGTCACCATGAGGTGTACGGTAAAGTACAGCACTTATCATCTGATGATCTGATTAGGAGGCTGGAGTCTGGAATGCTACAGCACTGGCATGATCAGTAAACAACAAGTTCAGTGTAGCTCCAAGTTACTGAGTTGGAGAGTGAATGAGTTGAGTCATTTTCTGCACATTTAAGAAATCTTCAAGTTTCAGCTTTTCACTCAGATCACAGTTGAAATCTCCAGTAACTAGGACATGTTCACATTCATGCTGCTTGGGGAGATCCTGAAGGTTCTGCATGAAATGAGTAAGTAAATGTGACAACCGTGTCCAGGACACTTTTGCAGGAACATACACACAAGCAATGCAGAACTTTTTCAACTTGTTTTCAATACTGCGAGATGGCATTACATCCTATAGCTGGACACTGTTCTTGAAACTTGTTGAAACATACACAGGAAGACCATGTGTAGTGTCTCCTGGATTGACTTTATATCCTGACAGTTCTCTTTCACCGTAATCATTGATGTGCGTTTCTGTGAAACATAAAGCACACCGACAAACTAACACTGCGAGGAAGTAGGCTGGTTCGGGTGCCACTGTTCATGTTACCACCATGCACTGCGATGAAGTACGCTGGTTCGGGTGCCACTTGTAAATTGTGTTTTTCACAATAATTCGCCATATACCTTGACCAAGTTCCTTTGTCAAGTGGTATACATCTCAATTAGGTAATTATGGTAACGGTTCTCAGACAACCCTGCGTAGATGTTTTTGAAGAATTGATCCGGAAACGAGGTTTCATTTTCAGTCTAAGTCAAAGTCTTTGCCATGGAAACTCGAAAAAAATGGTTTTTTTCTAAAATTCCAAACTTTCTAAAAGCACCAGTTCACCACTAGACCTATCTATGTGCCAAGTGTGGTTAGGACATCTTTCATGGTTTTTGTGTTCTGCTCCGGAAACGAAATGTGACGGAAGAACGGTAAGACGGAAGGACGGCGCCCATTCCTATATCCCCCTTCCACTTCGTGGCGGGGGATAATAATTTATTACAAGTCCTATATAGATAACACAACAAACGTCATTCTTAAAACATGCTTTGGCAGCAACTATCAATCTTTCTGGTACAAAATGCTGGCTGGGTTAATAATATAAAACAATCTTTTGAAATAGTAAACATGTATGAATGTAATGAACCCACTGTATATAAACTTCAGTCCAAATGTAAAAATATGTTCACGCATTCATTAAGGGATTCCCATTTATCCAAACAGCAAGTTTAGAAAATACAGATTGGTCAAGTGATCTGTAAATATTGAGAATTATCGTACATATTGTAAAAACAAAGGTCACATTTCTCAAAACTTCGTTTAAGTAATCACAAACTAAAAATTGAAACTGGTAGATATACAAAAACACCAACACCATTGGAACAACGTCTCTGTGAAACATGTGATGTCTTAGAAGATGAGCAACATTATGCAACCGAGAAAGAGCATCACAAATAATCCACAATCATGATAAAGAATTTGGTACACTCTGTTAAAAAGAACAATTCTTAATAACTTTTAACATTTATCAAGAAACAATTTCCATGATCTGTTATCATATCTACAATTATAAACAAATTTCTTGTATGTACAACATTACCATAGTTTTGCTCAATTCTCATATTGTTTCCATATAATTAAAATACACTTGTTTTAAAATATAATTGTTATAATGTACCTCCTTTGTATTCTGAATGTATATGTGTGTTTTGCACTTTTTGTCCATATGTGTTGTAGTTTGTCATAGTGTAATATTGCCACTGTTTCTTTCATGGAATGTTACGCAATACTTATATCATCTAGAACATCTTTGTTGTATGATAGTTTGTTACAGTTGTGTATGGAGGCACGGTTTGCCCAGTCGCCTTCGGCGCTTCAATTCGCTATGCAGAGTTGTGTCCCTTGGGCCCGCCAGAAACCTATGACAGTGTGTTCGAATCCTGGTTCGCCCCGATTATGTTGTCAGCACAATACCCGTGCACGTGGGTTTCACCAAAGTGGTGACCGTCTAAGACCTGCATCACTTTGGGCTTTTCTCCCACATCAAGCTGACACGTCGTGATACAAGTGGAATACAATTCAAAGCCGCGTTTAACCCAACTTACTCACTCATTACTCTTGTGTACGGTTCCGTTTGGCTAACTAGGTTTGTTTTGTGATTACCTCCCGTTTAGATTTGAAGTATATTTAGAAGAATGTTACTATGTTCAACCCAAACATCGTGAATATATCACGATCGTATGATGTTTTAGGAAAATATTTGCAAACTACAGATCAACCTGTTGATTGACAATATATCCAGAAGCAAACTTATACGGGTGTATAATCTCTGCCGGAAGTTAAAAAACTGTCAAAACAATAAACCATGCAGAACCGTAAACCGCCGTATGAAACGGTATGAATCATACATTACATACAGTGAACTACATGAAACAATACTGTGCTCAGGTAGTGCGCAAAAGAGCTATTCGGGCAAGGGATATAATCACTCACTCTCAGTGATACAGCTTGAGCAAGATACGATGTACAGCATTGCAAGGTCAGTGCACGATAAAGCTCTATTTGACGCCTATAGCTAAAGGAGATAATCGCTCAATGCGCAAATTATTCTCACAAAATTTTGACCGGTTATCGTTAGCGAAAGGACATAAATGTCCCGCAATTTTTTTGGAATATCTACATTACGAAACATGACTAAGATTGAGTAAAAGAGAACATTTAAACTAGCTCCAAATTTGGAGCCTTTTATATCCGACACGCAGTGTAGAACGAAACATTGCCAGGCATGCTTAATTCTATAAAGGAGTTCCCACTTTAAGTAGGTTCAAGAAGCTGCTATGCTACACACTTTCGCTGCATGTTTATGAAGTGAAGTGTTAAAAAAACAATGCTTGAGCATATACAGCACCAGACTTTGCTTAATGTCTGTTACCGTGTTTCCTAAATTCAGATCACGGATTTGCGATTGAAGTTTAAAAATCTGCCTTTTCCACTTATTCAGCCATATTTGACTTTGTCTCAGCTCCAAAACTGGCAAGTGTGGGAAAGTAAAAGGCAAATAGTCAGTCATTTGAATATGTTGCATAATATTCATATCAACATATTCATAGCTCTAAATTGAAACATCTTATCTCCTATTTGATTGTTCAATACTCGTTGTACACAGTGTCATACCCGTGTGTCTTGAGCGTAAGTTGAGGCTTTATGCATAAAACAAGTAGTTTAACACAATGAAAGCCTGAAACGTGACCACGTTGTGAAAACATGGATTGATTCAGAACATTCCAGGTCATCATGACCATGACATCACTGAATAATATCGATCGAATATGTGCGTTAATGTTCGAGTCATTGCATTCCCAAACATGAATTACATGTATGTCATCTATTATTGTAGCAGGTGGTATTGTCGCCACATATGCTCATAAATTATGACTTCTTTCTTGAAAAATGCATAGAACTGTTTACATATTTCACATATCGCAGCTACATATATGACATTAGACAAACAGTCTAATAATTCAAGTTTATTGATTTAAATAATTATGCCATACATTTGTATTAATATTTCTTATGATGTCACTAATATTCTTAAACTAACATGATGCAGTTCATTTTAAAGCTAAATAACCCGATAAAGTCTTTGACTTAGATTTTTAAAACGAAATATCCTCCCCCAAAGTGAATTTCATTCTTAAGTGAGTAAAACATACCTTTATATACATAATTCTCCCAGATCCTTATATATTTGCTAACCGCACCCTCTAAAAGCTATCATTTTCAAATTGGCAATCGGCGTTAGAATCTGCAGTACAAGTTTTGACTTTTAATATCCAGATAAAAGTATCTTTGTTTGCCAACTATTTTAAATTGTGAAACAATTAATTCACTGTTGTAAATTATGAAGAGATCAATGTCAGCGTTACATCCTTATCAAGTATTGCTATGAATATAGATATAAAATAACTCATTCCGATGAAAGAAATGCAATTCTTACTTCGAGATATATAAATACTGAATCGCAAAAGAAACGTCCCCCCAAGTTACATTGCATAAAAAGTTGTCATTTAAATATCTGGGTAATTTTGGTCAAAGTTTCTAAAATTTAACATAACCCTGTCCCCAAAAATGAAATTTGATGATAAAAAACAAAACAGATGACAATAAAACCGATCGCCCAAACGCATCACGGCAACGGCCATGGTAACCCGATGCACATGCGTTCCCCAATTTCTTGCCCTATAAAAATCCATCCCAGATCGGATAACATTCATTATTGAATTATTGAACATTCGTTATTGAATTGCTACCGCATGCCAAGATTGACAAGAAATCAGCGACACCAAGCCCTTGGACGATTGCAAGCTGGACAAACCGCCCGGCAAGTAGCCAATTTATTTCAAGTCCACGTAAGGACCATATATAGGCTCCAGCAACGCTACCAGACAACCAACACTACAGATGACCGACAACGTAGTGGAAGACCAAGGGTCACCACCCGACGTCAGGATCGTCAGATTGTGCGACAGCATCTTCAAGATCGCTTTGTTACTGCTGCGGAAATTGCTCGACTGACCATGGGGACACACCAGCGACACATTAGTGCGGACACCGTGCGTCGACGATTGACGAGCAGATACCCCCACTGTCACAGGCCACAACGAGGATCCATTGTGACACCACGTCATCGCTGGGACCGTCTTCAGTGCCCAACACAGCACCAGCATTGGCGCCACCAGCAGTGGAGCAGAGTCCTCTTCTCAGACGAGAGCCGTTGATGTATGTCAACGGCATATGGCAAAGAGAGAGAGTCTGACGACGCCGTGGGGAACATTGTTCAGATGCTTGTGTTTTTAAGAGAGACTCCTGGGGTGGTCCGAGCATCAGGGTGTTGGGTGGAATTGGTCTTGCACAGAGGGTCGGCCCTGTGGTCTTCGAGAACATCGGTCCAGGGAGAGGCAGTTGTGTCGCAGCATCTCGGTACATTGATCAAGTCTTGAGACCACACGCAATACCTCATTTGGCACGTCGCCGCACCCACGAGTTTCAGCATGATAACGCCCGTGCCCACACTGCGAGAGCAACAAGAGACTTCCTCCAGCAGAATGGCATCAGAACCATACAGTGGCCTGTCCTCAGTCCTGATTTAAATCCCAATGAACAGTGGGGCGAGATTCAAAGACGGCTGAATGACGTCCGACCAAGGCCGACAACTGCAGCTGAACTGCGTCAGGCGTTCCTCAGAGTGTGGGCTCAAGTGCCTATGGCTTTCATCAACCGCCTCATCCGTTCAATGTATCGACGTTGCACAGCAGTCATCAATGCACATGGCGGACACACGAGATACTGATTTGGGATGCAATTTTTTTAGAGACTATTGTTGTGTTTCACTTTAAGAACATTTAAAACTTTAATTTCAACCTTGATGATCAGTTTTTGCCAAGTCTTTTTAATATGTCTCAAAGTATGTTTACAGTGTTTGGACAAATATGGTTTCTCATATATCTATCCATGGGGACGTTGTATCTTTTGCGGTTCAGTATATATGAAACAGTTGATGAATTTTGTGTACTATTATATAAGTATTGCATTATAGATATATTTGAGCACATGTATTTATAACACAATAAAAACTCCTGATAAATTAGCAAAGATGAAAAAGGTGTGATGTTTACCTGTGTTGAGGGACGTCAAAGAGAAAGACAACCAGCAGCATACCAACGGCAGCATTCTGAACAGAAGGGAGAGACAGAAGGAAGTAGAGACGTCTCTGGTAGGGACCAAAGTCGCCAACTGTCACCAACAACTCGTCAAAATGCATCTATAACGATAGGAACAACATCACATATGGTGTTACTGTGGAGGCAAAGTAACCAGCTGCCTGGTTCTGTGCTTGTAATTAAAAATTCCAAACCGCGCCCTATATTACAACGTGAATAAAATGCACGAACAGCAGGACGTCATGTGTATGGCTGTCTCGTCGTTATTGTTGATGCATGTACACCACGTGATTGTATTGCGATCTCTCATTGGGTTGCCTACAACTGTGATAAAAATGTAAATAATAATTGGCTTTGCACAATGTACTAGTTTAGGGAATTCAGAACATGGTCAAGCTTTGTGACTTGGCTGGCTGCTTACAATCGTTTCAATACACGTAAATCGCTGATCTGATGTGCTTGCTCCACAATTCCGCTCGATTACTTACAAGCTGTCGTGATGCAATGATGCAATGATAAGTAGAGCGTTGAAACATTATTTACTCTGAAGCTTTTGCAGGATGAGCAAATGTTAAGCTGGTGTAAATAATATATGAAGGAAGTGTGTTGAGGCATCCATAACTTCCAGCATGTTCGTGTTCTGTTTCTTTTGTGCTGCTATACCTTGCATTACATATCATGAGAAGATTCAAACGGATACTTTCTGTAATGCATTGTATGAGGATATTATCATCAACGTATTCATTTAAATATTAGAGTGGTCTACGAGTTGTGCCTTTTAGAATTGACAGGATCCGCTGATGTTGGTTCGAATTAGCCACGGTTGTGGCCTTTGGTCCCGTCAGCACATTGTGTGACACCTATTTCTACAGTTCAATATCGTCATATTACTTAAAGGGAAAAGATACAGTTTCCACTCGAGCGATTGTTATCCTTACACAAGCGTTTTTTATTATTATGTTACGTAACACATGCCTGCATTAATCATCTTATAGTATGGAACTGCCTCCCTCCTGCGATGAAGTGGTACAAGCATACTGTGGAAAATAATACACGCTTGTGATATGTGCAGGTAATTTTAGTGGCGTCAGAAACTGTTGTAAATATATTTGTAGTGAAGATCTTCAGCAACCTATAAGAGGAAGCTAGCGGGATCGGGTGGTCAGGCTCGCTTACTTGGTAGATGCATGTCATCGTATCTCAAACGAGGCTAGGGCGAATCCCTTGTGGTACTTAAAAATTGGAAATCTTTAACTACAAGCTCGACTTTTTATGGCGTATTATTATGTGAGAAAAGGGATTAACCACTGTGTTCGGTTGTTACCGAAAAACCTACACACGAGTGATTAGTCTTCCACGATTAGAACGACGCTTTTCCGTTAACAGCCGAACACAGTGGTTAATCCTCTATGTATACATCCTGTATTCTAACGTGTTCTTCAATTCAAATGTTGACATCCAGTATTGTTCCTCGTTCTTGACTTCGCGCATTTACGTCCGGTAATGCTACTTGTTCATGACTAGGTGTGTTTACATCGTAACCTTGCTTCCGCGTTGCGAGAAAATCAGATTTAATAAAATCATGTAGCTTTCTTACTGTGTATTCTTGTAATTACTGGTGACACAGTTCCTGAGTTGTCATTGGTAATTATCTCCCTTTGCAAAAAGTGTTGATTGCTTCACATTTGCTATACACTGTCATATGCTATACATTCATTTGCTTCAACGGACGTTTGGTTTACACTGTATCCTTAGTGGATAGGGCGACATGGGTTTGCTTTTTCATCCGTGGTTTGTGTTGATTTGTTTACTCTTCATTACTTGGAAGTAGGTCACATGTTTACACAAGTTCGGTGTTTTGGTTTTCCACTTCATGTATTTGCTTCAGTTCTCGGAGATAATAAGTGCTTTTTTCCGTTATTCCTTATTTACCACTCAGGCTAAACGGAAGTGTTCAAGACAAGGGAGGCGAGCCATTCATCGTGCAAAGTAACCCTGTCCGTATTTTTGTTATCACCGTCACAAATCTCTTTCCTCAAAACTAACCCTGCCATGTGCATGTAGCATGTTTTCAGGAATTACAGCACATCACAGTTCGTTAAAGGGTCACGACTGCAGAACATGCATTGCATTTCGAAGAATAAACAATTTGCACGGATAATAAAGCAAAGCAACATTAGTTTTATATCCACATGAAAACATGATAGTGTCAAAAATATGTGTGTTGTATACTGATCTGCGTTAAAGTCGCTGCAGCAAAGCCTGAGGTGAATATTTTGACATAACCTGATTACAAAATTTAGATACTTAACTATATTCCATCATCTAACTCTAATTAGGTTTTAAGTTTTGGTAAGGGTCTCTGCCTCCTTAGGTTTTCTGGTAGCATAGTCCTGAATATGTGACAAAATCTAATTTTCCCACATTTGTGAATGACAAGAAACAATGTATATTTGACAAGCACAATACTTTATTGTGTGTGAAACATAAACGCATAGGATATATGTTAACACGCGAAGTAAAGAAAGAGTTACAATACCAGATTACACACACAAAGTAAAGAACAGATTAGAATACGGGATAATACATGTGAAGGAAAGAACAAGTAAGAATACGGGATAATATATGTGAAGGTAAGAACAAGTTAGAATATGGGATTATACACGAGAAGTAAAGAACAAGTTAGGTTACGGGATTTTACACGAGAAGTAAAGAACAAGTTAGAATACGGGTTTATACACGAGAAGTAAAGAACAAGTAAGAATACCGGATGTATACATGCGAAGTAAAGAACAAGTAAGAATACCGGATAATACATGTGAAGGAAAGAACAAGTAAGAATACCGGATAATACATGTGAAGGAAAGAACAAGTTAGGTTACGGGATTATACACGAGAAGTAAAGAACAAGTTAGGATACGGGATTTTACACGAGAAGTAAAGAACAAGTTAGGATACGGGATTTTACACGAGAAGTAAAGAACGAGTTAGAATACCGTATGTATACATGTGAAGTAAAGAACGAGTTAGGATACCGTATGTATACACGCGAAGTAAAGAACAAGTTAGAATACCGGATGTATACATGTGAAGTAAAGAACCAGTTAAAGTACCGGATTATACATAGAAAATGTACTCAATAGATAATGATATAATGTGTCAAAAAGGTTGATTTCGTAGCTTTTTATGATGCGTTTTTCTAATATTTGAATTTCAGAGATGTACATATGGTAAATAATCTGCCTTTTCCACTTTTATTTAGCCACATTTGACAATGTCAGAACTCCAAAACTGGATGGTGTAGGAAAGTAAAAAGTAAGTTGTCAGCCATTTGAACATGTTGGATAATATAAATACCAATATTTCAAACTTCCAATTCAGTTTCGCGATTTTAAATCTACAGGTACCAAAGCTCTAAATTGAAAACACCTTATCTATCTCCTATTTAATTGTTTAGTACTCATTGTATACAGTGTGTGTTGAGTGTAAGTTGAAGCCCGTTGCAAAAAAAAAGTAGTTTAACACATTATGAAAGCGTGAAATGTGGCTACGTTATGTAAACATTGATTGATTTACAGCATTCCAAGTCATTATGATTTTAACATCATCGTAAAAATGTTCGGAATATAGTCTCTTGAATCGATGGATTTATGTTCCAGTTATTGCCTACCAGAATATACATTACATGTATGTTATCTATTATTGTAACAGGTGGTAGTATCGCCACATGCATATGCACATAAATTATGACTGCATCCTTGAAATATGCATAAGTACTGTTTACATATTTCACATGTCCAGTGTTTTCCACACATTTTTCTACGATGTTTATGTTGAAGCTGTGGTGATCATTTCACTGCAGTGTTGAAGCTGTGGTAGTCATTTCACTGCAGTGTTGAAGCTGTTATAGTCATTTTACTGCAGTGTTGAAGCTATTGTCGTCATTTCACTGCAGTGTTGAAACTGTGGTAGTCATTTCAAAGCAGTGTTGAAGCTGTGTTGATCATTTCACTGCAGTGTTGAAGCTGTGGTAGTCATTTCACTGCAATGTTGAAGCTGTTGTAGTCATTTCACTGCAGTGTTGAAGCTGTGGTAGTCATTTCACTGCAGTGTTGAAGCTGTGGTAGTCATTTCACTGCAGTGTTGAAGCTGTGGTAGTCATTTCACTGCAGTGTTGAAGCTGTGGTAGTCATTTCACTGCAGTGTTGAAGCTGTTGTAGTCATTTCACTGCAGTGTTGAAGCTGTGGTGGTCATTTCACTGCAGTGTTGAAGCTGTGGTAGTCATTGCACTGCAGTGTTGAAGCTGTTGTAGTCATTTCACTGCAGTGTTGAAGCTGTTGGAGTCATTTCAAAGCAGTGTTGAAGCTATTGTCGTCATTTCACTGCAGTGTTGAAACTGTGGTAGTCATTTCAAAGCAGTGTTGAAGCTGTGTTGATCATTTCACTGCAGTGTTGAAGCTGTGGTAGTCATTTCACTGCAGTGTTGAAGCTGTGGTAGTCATTTCACTGCAGTGTTGAAGCTGTGGTGATCATTTCACTGCGGTGTTGAAGCTGTGGTAGTCATTTCACTGCAGCGTTGAAGCTGTGGTAGTCATTTCACTGCAGTGTTGAAGCTGTGTTAGTTATTTCAAAGCAGTGTTGAAGCTGTGGTAGTTATTTCACTGTAGTGTTGAAGCTGTTGTAGTCATTTCACTGCAGCGTTGAAGCTGTGGTAGTCATTTCACTGCAGTGTTGAAGCTGTGTTAGTTATTTCAAAGCAGTGTTGAAGCTGTTGTAGTCATTTCACTGCAGTGTTGAAGCTGTTGTAGTCATTTCACTGCAGTGTTAGAGCTGTTGTCGTCATTTCACTGCAGTGTTGAAGCTGTTGTCGTCATTTCACTGCAGTGTTGAAGCTGTTGTAGTAATTCCACTGCAGTGTTGAAACTGTGGTAGTCTTTCACTGCAGTGTTGAAGCTGTTGTAGTCATTTCACTGCAGCGTTGAAGCTGTGGTAGTTATTTCACTGCAGTGTTGAAGCTGTTGTAGTCATTTCACTGCAGTGTTGAAGCTGTGGTAGTCCTTTCGTTGTCTGAGTGTCATTTTTATGTTTCCACAAGTTCGTCTGTCTTCATACGTGTAATGATTAACTTTTCCTTGTGTTCATTGAAATTCCTGCATTCTGA